AGCCCGGCAAGGTCTAGACCGGCCAGCAGAAGTGGCAGCAGAGCCGTGTGCCGCTCGGGACTGACTGGTGCAGGCAGGGGAAAAATGCACCTGAGCTCCTGCCACTCTGGCTGGGCTCGTCCCGTCCCGAGCGGCACACGGCTCCACCGCCACTTCTGCTGGTTGGTGCAGACCTGGCCGGGCTCTTCCTGTCCCCAGCAACTTGTGGGAAGCCGACTTCAGCTGCATCCCACTTTTCCTGGCCGTTGCTGACTCGGCTGGGTCTGTCCCATCCAGAGCAGCATGCGGCTGAAGCTGGCTTCCCACGTGCTGCTACGGATGGGAGGAGGCTGTCCGGGTCTGCACCGGCCAGCAGAAGGGGCGGCGGAGCCATGTGCCACTCGGGTCGGAACGAGCCCGGCTGGAGCGGCAGGGGCTCAGCTGCATTTTCCCCCTACCTGCACCGGTCAGTCCCGAGCAGCACATGCTTTGCTGCTGCTTCTGCTGGCTGGTGCCGACTTGTTCGGGCTCCTCCTGTCCCCAACAGCACGTGGGAATCTGGCTTCAGCTGAATGCTGCTCTGGATGGGACAAACCCACCTGGATCGGCACCAGCCAGCAGAGGCGGCGGCGGAGCCGTGTGCTGCTTGGGACTGACCGGCGCAGGTAGGGGGAAAGTGCAGCTGAGCCCTTGCTGCTCTGGCTGGGCTCATCCTGTCCCAAGTGGCACATAGCTAGTCCTCTTCCCACACGCACTGCATCAGCAAAGTCAAGCTGATGTGGTGCATGTGGGAACCTATTTTAGGGGCCCTGTGGGCCAGATAGAATGCTCCAGTGGGCTGTATCCGGCCTCCGGGCCGCATTTTGCCCACCCCTGTCTTAGAGCAAAGTGGCATGGTAGCCTTTGATCATGCATCAACGGTGGGCCTGGTAGCTTCAAGAGTTCAACTTCACCATCGAACTCATCAAGGTAAACCAGAATGTGATAGTAGATGCCCTGTCTGGGAGTGGTAGGCTGTGGTCTTGAGGTGTTTCACTCCACAGCACTCCCACAGGCACTTCATCACCTAAGCCAGGAAGTTCCCACCCCTGTCAGTCAGGATCTTAGAGGGGAAACCCAGCTGAAAGAAGATCTTGGTCAGGGCTTCAGCAACTATGGGTGCCTTGGTGGAGGTCAAGGCAATTGTCTCCAGGTACCGAGTTGTGAAATCCACTAGAGTCAGGATGTGTTTCTTCCCTCTATGAGTCTTATGCCTCAGAGGGCCCACAATGTCTATACGTACTCTTTGGAAGGGTTGATCAATGATAGGGTTGGGCTGTAGGGGAGCCTTTCTCTTGTCCCCACTTTTGGCCCTCTGCTGGCACATCTCACAAGATCTGCAGTAGCCTGTCACATTCTGGGCAATTCTGGGCCAATAAAAGTTTGCCTGCAGCTGCCGGCATGTCCATTCCCTGCCCATGTGACCAGCACAAGGTAAATCATGAGCCATGGAAAGCAATAGTTGTCTGAACTTAAGAGGTATTATGAGCTGGCAACAGGGCTCCCAGGTCTTGGCATGGTTCTTTGGTACCCACAACCTATAGAGGAGTCCCTTATCCCAGACCACCAATTCCCTCTTATCTGGGGTGAATGCTGTCTCTGGATCCTGAGCCATCTGCCAGAGTTCCTTCGAGCTGGGGTCCTCTAGAACCTCCTGCTTGAACTCCTCTTGCCCAGCTAAGCAATCAGCGGGGAGTTCTGGTACTCCTGTAAGAAATGCACCTTCACCCTTAGGGATGTCCTCTAACATCTCCCCAAGAGTCTCAGTTTCCTCTGCCACAGACTGACCGGACTCCTCCCTGGGGCTGTCACTTATCCTAACCTCAAGGTCACCAGTTTCCTCATTGGCTGGTAGATGGCTGCAGCCAGGGGGAGTCTCTCCAATTGGGTGACCTGGGCCTGGGAGGTTTCCACTCCTCCCGCCTTAGCCTTTTTGCTCTGTTGATGAGTCACCACTTTAACATGGTAGGGCTCCATGAAGTGGCCTCCCTCCCTTTGCCGGTATTCAAGCTCCAGAACATCCCGCCCCATCAAGATGGGGACAGGAGCCTCTTCCAGCACTCGTAGTTATATGCGCATCCTGTAGCCTCTCCACTCAATGGGGAGATGGGTACCTCGAATGACTGGGGCCCCACCCCTTGTATGGTAAGGTTCCTCCCCTGGACTATATCTGCAGGTGAAACCAGGTTGGCATTGATTAATGACACACCAACCCCTGTGTCCAGTTCCCCAACTGGGGTTCTCCCTTTTACCGTTATCTCAGTCCGGTGGTTGGCCAGCACCTCTTCTGGGTTTGTAATCCTATAGCATCAGGTACACCCCTCAGAGTGGCTTGGGTATCCCTCCTCACTGCTTACAGCTGTTGCACAGCTGATTGGCTTGGGTTTGTTGCTTAGCTTTGGGCAGTTGGGCCAGATGTAGCCTGCATCCCTGCAGTTATAGCAACCCCTCTTTTCTGAATTGGGTGGCTTGACCGAATCTGGGGCTGCCTTGCACTCAGCAGGAGGTGGCCCCCTTTCCCCTTTTGGGCCTGGCCCTCCCTTCCCCCCTTTCTGGAACCCTTTCTGTTCCATCCCAAAGTAGGGAGGCTTTTGGTTTAGCCTGTCTATTTAGCAATAGCTGGTCTGCAATTTTCATAGCTTCCCAGATTGTTTTAGGGCCCCTATCCTTGACAAGTTTTAATCTCCCTCAGGCATTTGCAATAGAATTGGTCTGTCACCATAAGCATGTCCACCTCCTCCACAGTGGAAGCTTCAGCTTCCTTCTTCCATTTCTGGTATGAGTCCCAGAGCAGGGCCCCAAATTCGTGCATGGTCTTTCCCGGCCAGGGGTTAGAAGTAGGGCTTGGAAGTAATCTGGACCTAGTTTAAACCTTACATGCACCTAAAGGTGTCATAGTTATCTGCTGATTCAAAGGGCAGGATGTTCAGGACAACAGACATGTCACCCTCAACCAGAGCAGCCATAT